GCAATGGACGTTAGATGCGGTGGGACATGATGAACTCTGATGAGGCGCCCAGGATGGATGAAGTTTCATCCATCATTAGGTCCAAGGACTGTGCCATGCTAGGATCAATAAAGTTACCCGCCACTCCAGTGTCAAGAAGGGCTTGCACTGTGATTTCCCCTGACTCTGAGGGAAAGGAAATGGGAAACAAGAAGTATTCTTGGTCCCCTTTTTGGGGTAAGCCAGTGAAAGGGCACCTGAGGAAGGGCCATGACCCAACATCAGGAGAGACTGGCCTGTGGCGCAAGGGTAGGGTGCGGCTGATCTGGGGTCTCTACCCCTTCCTTGTCCCACATGGGCAGGCGAGGGTTAATATGTACACCTGCTCCACTCTCTTCAGAGGAGGAGGAGTGGTCACCTGGAGGGACGATTTCACCACACCAAGCAGATTTCAAACACTGGGGGCCCAATGATCCAGTCTCCTGATCTGGGCTGGGGGCCAGCAGTACCATAGGCAGGGGTTCCCCTGGGGGAGGTACCTGAGGCAGCCACCGAGGGGGAGCAGAGGGCAGCTAGACCAGGGGGACACTTCCCTTAGCTGTGACCACTGGCAGGGGGAGGTGTGGTATGGGGTGCCTTGGGGGCAGCGATGGAACACATGGGATTGTGCAAGGGCTTGGCCCCAATTGCACGGGCCACAGAGAAAACAACCTCTATGGATCCAGGGAAAGGGTCCCAGGCTGTGTGGGCCACCGTGGTGGGGTCCAGGGCAGCATGGAATGCGGAGACAGAAATTTCAACAGGGGATGGGCACTGTTAGAGCCAGGAGTGTGAAGGCCTCAATCAGGGAGGCCAGGTCCATGGCTGTCTGTCCCAAGGTAAACAAGTGGAGGAGGCATGCTGGTCTCAACTCAGGAGCCTGGACCACCGAGGTGACCAATGCCAACAAGGGGGTGGGGTTGCCTGACTTGGCAGCAGAGTGGAGCACTCCCCTGACCCAACAATGGGCATCCCCATCCAGGGTGTCGAGGAGGGACACACTCTGCTGTTCATCAGAGGAAAGCGGGGATTTCCCACCACAGCAGTGAGGCGCACCTGGAGCTCTTCCAGGACACCCAGGATTTGATTGGCCACCTCATCAGAAGGCACAGGGGGAACCCCCAACCCTATTGCATTAACTGATGGGGTGGTGCTCGCCGTTGGTGCTCAGCAGGGTGGGGACCAATTCAGTAGAGCCTGGTGGCAGGCCCAGATGAATGAGGCCACTGACCAGAGGGAGAAGGCCAGGTCACAGAGGGAGAGCACATTCAGGGTGAGGGAATAGGTCAGCGCATTGCCCATCCCAGTGAGGAGGGCAGAGAAGGCTGAGATTAGAGGCCAGTTCATTATATCACAGATTCAGCTAAGAAGAACTATACTGGGCTCCCGGTCAGGGTATGCGAGCACCCAGTGGAGGCCCAAGAATGCCAAAGGCATAATGGTCCAAGTGACTAATAGAAGTGGGGTTCTATGGGAGATGTGAGGAAAGCAAAAGTTCAGTAATGTACTTAAGGCCCCCAAGGAAAACCAAATGGTTGCATTGAGGGCAACTGCAAGTCTTGCGGAGGCAACCCCCAAGGGCAGGAGAGGCAGGGAGAATGAAGACTCCTCCAGGGTTCACGGTTGCTGTCCTTTGGATTTGGATAGGGGGCTTGCGCACCAGCAAGGGATGGCACAGAGGCTGCCATGTGATTTGAGATGTATGAAGAGGCAAAGTAAGACCCCTGTGAGAGGTTGGGACCAAGTTTCCCCTGGAGGGAGCGCTCTAGGTCACACTGGTGGGCCAGGCCAGTGGTGGCAGAGGCAGCTATTGAAGCTAAACCCACGCGCGGTGGGGCAGGGATGCCTGGGGGCTGCTCTAACCAGGGAGCAGTTTTGGTGGACTTGGCAACTTAATGGATGGAAGGGTCTCCATTAAATGGATGTGTGAAAATGAAATAAGCATCAGGTTTGTCATCAGAGGCAAGGAAGATTATCATGTTTATGATCTGCTGCCACATGGTGGGATTGAGTGACTGGATAATCCAGTTTAAAAACATCAGCAGGAGGATTTGGGCAATGGCGCACTTTGTCAGATTGATCATCAGATTTTTATAAATTTTTAAAAGGTAGATGGAGGCCACAGCAAACTAGGTGGGGTATTCAATTGTTTATTAACAGAAGGAAAGATAATGAACCAACAACTAACCTTGGCTGGGGCAGTTGCCTTTTAAACTGGGCTATATGTATGGGGAGGTATTGAGGAATTGGTCATTCAGGAGTAGTGAAGAGATTTGGTTGGCCATCTCAGAGGGGGTAGAAGTCTTCTCCCAATTCTGACAAAAGCTTGGAAAATTTTTGCAAATTTCCCAGATCCATGGGACCAAAGCAAGTCAATACTACTGATCCAAGTCCTAGTGACTCAAGTTGGCCTGTTTGCATGGCTTGGGTGGTCTTGATTCATCCCAGGGGTCAGGGGTCCTTGGATTGGATTATTTGCAATTCAAGCCAATCCCTTGATTGGGCTACTCATACAATCCAAAGTCCCTGGATCCATTTAAGAGCATTGGGGCAGATGATCTGAGTTATTTGGGCCTGGGTTTGCAATCTGAGCTGTATTCTGATCTAATTTCCAAAGCAGGTCAGTCCAGACCAGCTCCTCCAGTCTGGATATTGCTGACTGGGCTCCAATGTTGGGTATTGCCATTTTTCCAAAATTCAGATATGGTTTGCCTGGGGAGTGGGTGGTCTCAGGAGCCTCTCCATGCCCCCTGATGTGTGAAATCTCCCTGAAGACCCTTCTATCAAACTTCCTAGGGTTGAAGATGGGGAAGAGGTGGGAGTGGGATATCTTTGGGTGGGGAAGCTGTCACCCAGCGCTCATCTATCACATGGTCTAGGTCGCCCAGCTGTGACAGAGGGTCCACTGGAGCCTTAGGGCCCCTTTTCATCTGGAAGGGGTGCTGATCCCTATCCAGTTGCAAGGACTGGTCCCCAGGACTTACAATTACTATGACAATAAATTGGCAATAATCTATATTACTTATGTATAAAATTGCTTTTAAACAAGAAATTGCCCTGGGATTGATAAAGTTTGCTCTAAAAATCTAATAGGTTAATAACAATAAGACTTATATCTATGATTGCAGACAATTTTCACTCTATGGCAAAATTTGTATGTAATGTTCATAATTGGCATGATAGCACTTGCACATGGACATGGACAGTCCAAATAGGTTACTAAGTGCTATCAAGTGGCCTGCTGACATCTCAATAAGTGGTATATCATCAAGTGTAACTCAATTCTAATAGCTTCCAGTAATTATTTAATCAAATGTATGACAAAATGATAGCACTTTCACATGGACATTCTGAATAGAAGTACATAGTAATATTGATAGGCACTAACATCCCAATTAGTGTTATATCATTGGGTTTAAAATGTTGCCATTTTTTCCAGAAATTGTATTTTAATAGCTGTATGACAAAACTCAAATTGGGATGACCTTAGGGCAATTTTGAACATTTGAGTTATAACTTTTATACATGAAGTATTTTTTGATTTTATGAGTAATTTGCTATTAATAGTTTTAAGTAAAAGTTCATGGTTGTATTAGTTTGAGAGCTTAGCTGAGGTGAAAAATATTATCTGAGGAAAATTGCATGCTCAAACTATGGCCAGGAGATGCCCTAGAGATATAAAACCAGCGCCTGGCCAAGTAAAATAATTATCATATAATAAAATCAGATCATCAAATAATATACTCCAAAAAAGATATATTTGTTAATTCTCTTTATTTGATTTTATCATTATTGGTTTTAAAAAGAGTATTAACAAGCTGTTAAGACAGAAATTACCAGCTTGTACCTTTGACAGCATCATTAGAAGTTTTCACATTCATAGTTGAATTTTAGCCCAAATTGACTAGAAAAGTCATATTATTTTCAGATAAGACTAATGAGCTTCCAAATGGTCAATATACTGTAAGATACTGGCAAAAAATTGAGGATCATTCAGTAAACTTTTTCCAATTTTTATAATTTTATCTGAGGTGGGCCAACCTTGGGACAAATATACCACACTGATAGAGATGATAGAGAGTAGAGAGTAGAGAGTGAGAATATAGGAGTAGAGGACAAAACCCAAGTACTGGGGGTAAAACCTTCCTGTGCATATTCTGATAGGCCAAGATTATATGATCTAACTTCACTGATTCACTTGGTCAAACTGAGGCATGGTGTGCAAATCCACATGTATTGATATCCTCTTGGCACAGAAATGCAATTTCTGCCACAATGGTATTAGAACCCATGATATGAGGGGTGATAGTGGGATGCCCATCCTAACTATGCCACACCCCCTTAAACTTCTTCCAATTTAATAAGCAGGATTTTAATAAACAAGTAAGTGATCCTCAAATTTTAATAGAAGGGTCATGATAATTAGCTAGCTCTTAGTTGGTTTTATTGATAATAAATTTTTTGGTAGTAGCTATTATGGTCATCTGATTTGGTAATGACATTCAATATCATTGGGCCTCACTAGTCAGCAGTTGTTAAGTTGTCCTAGGGCTAAACCATATCACTACTCTGGACAGTTTCTGTGTCAATGGTGAATTTGCCATCAGTACTGATTGGGTGGATATAACTCATGATTGAAAGTCATCCATATTTTATCCTTAGTCAAGGTAAGGTCAGATAAGTTGAGTGGTTCAACAATATGATCTTCATTGATCACACATTTTTGGTGTCTTGTGACATGGCATTAGCTTTTGTGGCTGCTGTTTTTAAGTGGGTAAACATGGTTGGTGCATATGTTGTCAACTGAGTAATGTTGTGGGGTTTAGGGTAGGTTCTAGCTTTTGCCACCAAGTCAACGGGATTCATGGTGGGTTAAACCACCAAAATTCTATGGTGTACAATTTTTTTGAAGGAACTAAGCATCTAGGATAACGTAATGTTTAAAAAGTTATGCTTAACGTAAAGAAACGTCAAAAATAAATTGATACCTGCAGGATTTGAACCTGCATGGGGAAACCCCACGAGCTTTCTTTGCTCACGCCTTAACTGCTCAACTAAAGTGTCTTGTTCTGTTTCATATTCCAACTGACTTACTATTAGTTATCCAGTATGAACTATAATATCTATTTAATAATTTTTTGAGAAAAAAAGAACCTCCTTTAAAAATAGCTCAAAAAAGTATGAAATAATCAAGAAATTAAGCCTCCTCAATAAAACTCTTTTTGAAGTCGGCGCCATATTTTAAACTGAATTATAGAATTTTATTCACAAATACAAATTATATCTTATGTCTGGATTGGGTCCAAGTGTAAACTATAAGCAACTTAGAATATATAGTACTGAGTATATAAATTATAAATACATATTATAAGTTAGTTAAAATATGGCACCAACTTCAAAAAGAGTTTTATTGAGGATGCTTAATTTTCAATTATTTCATACTTTTTAGAGCTTTTTTTAAAAGAGGTTCTTTTTTTCCAAAAAAAAACTTTACCCCCAGCTCTTTTTCTTTCAAAAATTAGTGCATTTTTAAGAGTGGCTCTTTTTCCTACTTTTTAAAATATTACTATCTCTATATATTGTTTTTGTCCCTTATATTTCTCTATAAAATTAAAACTTATTGTATATCTATTATATATAGTATCTTAAGGGAGGATACCCCAGTGGTAGAGTATGGACCCTCTACCACTGCCTCCCAAGTTTGATCCCAGTAATGGACTTTGGGTAGGGGATGATTTTGACTGTGTTGGTTTTGCACACCAATGCCCTGAACTGAGATAGCAAATAGCAAAGGCAGTCCATGGAGTTCCTGGCCTATCATACACCATGCATGGAGGTTTTCTGGGTTTTATCCTCCTTTCCCATTTTCTTCACTTTCTAATCAGTGCGGTATTGTCCCCAGGTCAGCCCACCTTGAATAAAAAAACTATATATAGTATCTTATAAACAAATATACTAATAATTCATTTTATTAAATTTAATTGATTTTATTGGTCAAATTATACTAAATTTACTGATCACCATCTAAAGTAATTCATTTAATTAGATTTGGTTGCTTTTATAAGTCAATCTATGTAAATTTATTGATCACTATCTAAAATAATTCTTTTTATCAAATTTAGATGAGTTTATTGATCAAATTATGCAAAAATGATAGCCATCTATAATGATTATAGCTTGTCCCACTATGAGCTCATACTGACTAAATTTTGAACATACCCCCAGCCATAGAAGATATAAAATCAATAGTGCTTTGAAGCTATTGCTTCACTGAGGCTGGAAAAAAGTTTAGCCAGAGCTTTATTAGTCCCACAAGTGTTCATTGCTTCTGAGCTCATTTTGATATATTTATAAAATTAATGGGTAGATACTTTCCCAATACTTGCAAAAGTAAAATGTGACCTAAGTTGGAGCATCCTCTATTTTTGGAGAAGTTGATCATCCTAATTGGTCCAGTATTTTCAGAGTTATGCGCAAACAAACATAGAAAAAAAATCCATATACAGGTCAAATTGATAACCTCCTTCTTTTCAAAGTTGGTTAAAAACATTCACTGATGTTTTAATTAAGGCTGTTAACAATATAAACCACTTTTTGAGATGGCAATCAAAGCAGCAGCTGCACCTAACAATACCCTGTTGCAATGTAGTATTCAATCTACATTGGGCCCTTTGAAAAATGGTTTCCCTGAGCCAATAATCCCTGATAATTTCCCCTTTGCAGCAAAACAAGAAATTATTGTGATGGGCCATAAGGCCATTGAATCATCTATGCAAGCTGCTCAAATGTGTGGCTTTAACAGTGGTAGATCCACTGAAGAAAAACTGATTTTGCCCAATTGCCAAGTTTCCTCCTGCGTGTAGAGAATAACTTGACTGAGTATATTGATGCTTTGAATAAGCAGATATTATTGATGAGTCTAATATAACTTTCCTTAATCTACAACCATATTCAGGTGATATGCCTACTCCATTCCTATCTGCACTTGCATAATCCCTCAAACACCCAATTTTCCCCCCTTCCCCATCAGCTATGCTAGGCTAGGGTAACCTAGTCTAGCATGCTAGAGGCTAAATCAGGTTTTTTAGCATATTTTGCTCCTTTTTTTATCCTGCTTTTTATTTTTGTGTTGGCAAGAAGGGTCCCTTGGTCCCCTTGCCTCAAATAAATGATGTTATGATTAACTGATAGCTGAAATCATCAAGTTTGATAATTTCAATCTATTTAGGTGAGTGGATGAAATGTGGCAAATATTATCAAATCTGCAAACTATCAAGTCTGGTATGTTCAATCTATTTGGGTGAGTGGGTGAGAATAGGCAAATATTAGTTAATAATTCAACAAATTTCTCACCCAAAGTTAAAAAAATCAATGTTAAAGCTTTAAGTAGATATTTATAGAATATTAAGTAAATTTAGGATAACCTGCCCACCAGTCCATGAGGGCAACAGCGGAGCTGTTGGTCCGAGTGGCTCAAGTATTGTGCTGACAAAGACTTTAGGCTATCAGTGCAAGCTCATAATAAACCCAAGCAACGCCAGATAGCTGTTATCTCTATATCTGCACAGATAATGGAAAAACAAAAAATATTGTATACCACAAGCATTGTGAAATTAAATATATTAGAAACATGTGCTTTCTCTTTTCTTTCTTTTCCATTTAACCAGACTGAGCCAAAGCAGCGGGTGGTCAGGTATAGCTAGTCTACATATATAAATGAATGTTTGTTTCTTTGTCCCATATGCGTTACTATCCCATTCATCCAATTGTGATAAAACTTTGGTGATTTATTGTGTGAATGTCCAAGAAGGTTTATGAGTTTCAAAAATTATTATTTTTGTAGTAAAATAAAAAGGTTTATATGAAAGAAGTGAAAACCCTATATGTTCTCAATGGCATTCGCTATATTGATATAGCTGAGCAATTTGATATTCGGTTGATTTGATAGTGTCAATAGGTTTGGCAAGTGGTTGGTTTTTTTAGGTTGATTAATAAGCTTGATGGTTTTAGTAAGCACTTAGTGGTTGGTTGATCCAATAAGTTATTGGAGTTTGGTAAGCCGTTGGTATTTTTTGGTCATTTTGATAAGTTTAGTTTGGGGTTATCAAGCAGTTGTATTGGTAGATTTGGTAGGTTCAATGGTTTTAGCCAAGTGGTTTATCTATGCTATGATATAAAATCTAATATACTCAATTCAGATTGTCTTTTATTAATCCTGAGTGATGCCAGGTAATACCACTATCTTTTTATAATATAAATTTGATTTTAATCATTTCAAATGGTTTGTTTATTAAATCTGAGCGACGCTGGGTAACTCCACTAGTAATATAACTATCTTTACAGTGAAGTTACAAATACTAAGTTTAATAGATAAAACTTATGATAAAATAATGATTAGTATTAACCAATATATCATTTTCTAAAAAGCTATCACAATACGAAATGATTCTTTGATTTTAGTTAGGCACACAGATTTAAGCAAGCTAAGTATAGCCAGTACTAACAAGTGACTTGTAGATAAAAACAGAATAAGTCTTATATTTAAATTATTTTGCTATTAAGAGATTAGATAAGCAGTTATCGAGAGTCATTATTAAAAGAGCAACCAAAATACCAATATATATATATATATATAATGGATGATGGTATATCTTTCTGTGCTTTATAGACTCCGACACCGTTTGACCGATCACCATGAAAAATGGCACATTTAAGTATTTTTTCATGGAGAAGGTTTATGAATTTTAAAAATTAGTATTTTCATGGTAAAATAAAAAGTTTTATATGTAACTAGCCGATTTACCCGTGCTTCGCTACAGTATCTATAGAATCTCAGATATTCATTTTATTTTATTCGAGGTGGGCCGACCTGGGGGATACTGCAACGATAAGGGGAATCAAATGGGAAAGGAGGATAAAATCCGGAAAACCTCCATGCGCGGCATATGATAGGCCAGGAACTCCATGGACCGCCTTTACTATTTGCTATCTCGGTTCGGGGCATTGGTGCGCAACGCCAACACAGTTATAAGTCTCCCCTACCCAAAGTCCCAGTACCGGAATCGAACTCGGGGAGGCAGCGGTAGAGGTCCCTATTCTACCACTGGGGTATCCTCCCAATCTCAGATATTCAAATTTATTAATTTAGATTTTATATCTATATATATAAAACAAAGTCGGGTTAGTTACACCATTTATAACTCAAGAACGGCTGGACCGATTTTTATGATCTTTGATTTGTTGGATTTGTCTCCGCCCCGAATAGCAGAATAACTATTAAAACATGGGAAAAATTCATGAAAAAAATTTATAAAGAAAATTCATTTTCTCATACATTTTGTATGGAACGGCTTTTTTGATGATATCTCGAGAACGGATTGACTGATTTCGATGAATTTTTTTCGTTCGTCTAGGCCTCGAGAAGTTTCCTCGCGCATTGGAAAAGTAAGAAAATCACAAAAAATTAAAATCCGTATACAACGCCATCTCTGATACATGACAGAAACAAAAAAAGGAACAAATGAACATGGCGTTGTATGCTGGTATTAATAAATTCACCATATTACTCACCTGAGACTAAACAAAAATCAGTATTAGAGTTTTAAGTAAATTAAGTAATTAGGATAATCAGCTCACCAGCCACGAGGGCAACAGCGAAGCTGTTAGTCCGAGTGGCTCAAGCGTAGTGCTGGCACAGCCTTTAGGCTGCTAATGTGAGCTCATAAACCCGAGCAATGCTAGGTAACTCCGCTATTAGAAACATATGCTTTCTCTTTTCTTTCTTTTCCATTTAACCAAACTGAGCCACAGCAACGCGTGGCTGGGTACAGCTAGCTATAGTATAAAATTTAAATTAATCTTTTCAAAACAGCTGATAATAAAAAAAACCCAAGCAATGCAGGGTAACTCTACTAGTATAATATAAGAACAAACACATCATAAAAGCAGAAAGTTATCATGATCTTGGAGATGATTTATTTAGTATAAAAACCTGGAATAAACTAATAATAGTATAATTTGGTAATAATCTTTTAATGTTTGCTATATAAAAATTGATATATTGC